ACCAATGGGAAACAAGACACATGACTAAGACAACCAATGAGAACATGACACAAAGAACAGAGGAACCAATGGCATGAAGACAAGAGGGCAAGGGAAGCATGACACAAACAGCATGAAATAATTACAAAATAAAAGACATGAAAACATGAACATGAACATGAACATGAAACAAAACCCAAACACCAAACCACACATTACACATTAATTCTATCAAGGACCAGCTTACATGTTTTTTTTTTGTTGCATTTTTTGAATTCTCATTCTTGTCAGCAAGATTTGCGCGAGTTTTATGATTTCTATGGTAATTAGAACGTTGGTATTTCAGTATTTAAAGGCCAGAAAATCACTTGCTCACTTTGTTGGTTGAAGTTTCTGAGTTTCTGATAGCAAAGTCACATACGGTTTTATCATGGGACAGCTGAATTCACATCTAAAAAAGCGCTTGATATGGAGTCTGTACACGAACCCTGTGAATACACCAACAACACAGCGGAGAACCATGCTCATCAGCTTGATGAGACGCCAGCTCCTGGTGAGACTGATGGAGGGAGAAAGAAGGCAGGGAGAGAGGAGAAAAAGAAGTGCTTCTGGAGGTGGCCGTTTGGTCTTGATGAGACTGATGGAGGGAGAAAGGAGACAGGAATAGAAGAGAAAAAGAAGTGCTTCTGGAGGTGGCCCGCTCTCGCTCTCCGCTTTCCTTGCCGCAGAACTGCAAAACGCAACCTGGTTAAGGCTGAGAAGAAGCGCAAGCGTGTGGCGGGAACATCTCGCAGACATGACAAGGGAACAGTCCCATTTATAACAAAGAACCACAGTCCCAAACACCGCTGTCATTATCACACCAAGTATCTTAGAGTGACAGTTTAGAGATCAGAAATTAAAAGACTTTAAATCACAGCATGATTGAAGAATAGCTTTCCATTTGGTGCCATTACCATTATGTGACAATTCAGTTTGAGAAACAAATCTGTTGGTTTCCATTGTTTAAAGAAGTTTAATTTAGATATCAAGTCAAAAGTGCACCTAACCACTCCAATTTCAAGATGCAGTATTTTTTATTAATATTATTTATTTTGAATTAGAAAATGTTATTCTAAAATATAAAATAAAATTTGAAAATGTATAGAACTGTATTTCATACTAACTACAACTGTTTACCTTTTAATAGGTTACATTTTGAGGTGTTATAAAATCGGTCCCAAGCTAGGTAAAGGAGGATTTGGTTTGGTGTACGCCGGGACTCGCCGCAAGGATGGACTCAAGGTTTCTTTTTTTCTTTTGGCTTACAAAACTTTGTATATTTCTTCAGGATTCATGACAGATATTGTCACTGTGCTCATGCTAACTGTTAACTCTGTTTTATTGTTCAGGTTGCTGTGAAATTTTCATTGAAGCCACCAAACATGCCATATATCACAGTGGTGAGTAGGCTGTGCTCTCTGTGTCATTGCTTCTCAGTCTCTGTTTTCAATTTATAACATCTTATATTCATGTTCATCACAGACTACAAATGATTTGTGAACTGTTTTGATTTGTGGACTAAGGGCAGTGTTGGGCGAGTTATGTAATCAGATTACTTTTTTCAAGTAACTAGTAAAGTAACGCATTACTTTTTAATTTACAAGAGAATATCTGAGTTACTTTTTCAAATAAGTAACGCAAGTTACTCTTTTTTTTCCAATTTATTGATCGACAGCTCTCCTGTCCCCATGTTGAGAGAAATCAGAAGATGTTACTGTAGTTCTAAAATAAATATAAATATGCATTAATTCATCTCACTCACAAAAAAAAACACAGATTCAGTATTCCTCAAAATGAATACAAATAATGCAACTCAGAATATGACGCAAACCTGCAATAATTAAATGTTAAACAACACAAATATCCTTTATGTATTTAATCCCATTCTATTAACCAATGTCTTTGCTTCTGACCTTTGATGATCCAGTTCAACCATACTAATAAGCAAAAAGTACTCTAGACAAACATTTGTGTCTTTTTTTATTGATGTGTGTTGAAATTTCTTCTTCTGCATTCTACTGTACGGACGTAAATTTACTTTCCCTTCAGCCTGAGGCTTATTCATTTCACTTTTGGTGTGAAAAGGCTTTTATATTTGCTAAAAATATAACTTTTTTATTTTAAAAACAAACAAGCAAGCCCTGTCCAGATTTAAAAAGTAACGCAAAAGTAAAGTTTCCATAGAAAGTCACTAAGTAACGTAATTAGTTACTTTTTTTATGGAGTAACGCGATATTGTAATGCATTACTTTTAAAAGTAACTTTCCCCAACACTGACTAAGGGTGCGTCCAAAATCGTGTACTGTCTTGAGTAGGTACTACATTTGAATTTGAATTTACTGCACGACCGTTAAAAAAGTATGTTCTATATATAAATATGGGTAGTTTGAATGAAATTCGGACGTACTACATCCGCCATGCTGTTACTGTCACATGGCCTACCAGTATCAGTTGCGTCGCTTCACAGTCATTCATAAATCCTCTCCCGTGGCCTCATGGGATAGTAAAGTGTCCATCGAATGCGCACTTCAGAATCCGGGGGCGGAAGAAGTAGGTCATCCAGGTACTTTTCGTCCTACTCTTTTTTTGAATACTATGAATTCGGACATACTACTTGCCTCACTTACTGTTTTTCGCCAACTATATAGTAGGGAATATGCGATTTTGGATGCAGCATAAGTCTTTATTTGGGAAACCTTCGCCATCGAACCACCATGTTTTCTCTTTTAGCCTGGTCATCCCAAACGCCTCCCCTTGGAGATTGGCCTGACACTTACGGCCAATAAATGCCCCAGATCCCCTCAAATCATTAAACTGCTGGACTGGCAGGAATACACTGACCACTACATCATGGTCATGGAGCGGCCCTTGCCTTGCATGGACTTGCTTAGTTTCATGGAGCTCCACGGAGGAACCCTTAACGAGGACACGGCACGACATGTTATGCGGCAGGTCATTCGTGCTGCTAACGTTTGCTGTGAGAATGGTGTCTACCATCGGGACATCAAACCAGAGAACCTGCTGGTCAATCAGGACACCATGGAGGTGAAACTGATTCACTTCGGTTGCGGTGCTCTCATGAAAGAATCGGCCTTCAAATTCTTCTGTGGTATGTTACACAAACCGCTTTGTTAATTAGCTCACAGAAACACATCCTTCATACAGTCAGCATGCTGTGGAAATGTATTAAACATCAGACAAAATATCTTTCTTCCAGGCACAAGAGAGTACATTCCTCCAGAGTTCAAGCTTACTGGCAAATACCATGCCAAGCCGATGACAGTGTGGTCACTTGGGATCCTGCTGTTTGAAATGGTGTGCGGGGATTTTCCCACAGCCAAGGACCTGTACATGACCGCTGCCAACATCTGGACCAAACCAGGCCTGTCACAAGGTGAGATCTTCATCAAAGACGAAGGAGGACAATTTGAATTCTAAATTAGCCAAAGAAGGCCAATAGCTTCAAAGAGAGCAGGTGTGAAGTATAAGCTAATAATCAGACGTCTCTCTTGTCTTTTTGCACAGAATGCTGCAAACTGATTTGTGATTGTCTGCAGCCTATGCCAAAGAAGAGACTCACTCTGGAGAAGATGCATCTCCATGACTGGTTTAAGGTATGGAGTCCTTATAAACTAAATGGGGTTTCATTTTTGTTTCTTTCTGATTTAGTTTGATCATCAGTCATATAATCATCATAAACATGTTGCCAAAATGTGCTGTAAATTAAATGTATTTAGACAATATATGTGTAATGTGTTTGTTTCAGGTCATGGATGAAATCATGGAGAGAACATCAGAAAACGACACCTGTCACGGCCACCCTTGATTTCTGTTCTAAGTCTGCTTTCTAGGGTTGGGCCGATAGACGATGCCATCGTCCATCGCCGATGGCTGACATACATCACGATGTTAAGCTGACATCGTGATTCCTCCCACCACCCCCTCTCCCGCAATCCGCCGCATCCCAGTTCCGTGTTCGGAAAGGAAATTAAGTGTACTATGGAAACCCTAAAGGGAATAAATAGCCTACGAGATGGGAGGATAAAAAAATATTTCAATACTTTTTCTATAGGCGACTGTATATAAATTGCGGGCATCAGGGAGCCGCTATTGAAACCGCTTTTGATTGCGCGCTCTCATTTTACTTTCACTTTTGAGATTTGTGATCACAAGGACTCTATACTACGGAACAGCAGTACTTACCACACATTTGACAAGATTAGATGTTTGTCATTGGTGCTCAGGATCTGCAAATCATTCGCCATCTTCCTATCAGACATTTCTCCTTACTCTGTGTATGTGGTAAGTGAACTTTCATGTACTGTAATGCAACAGGCTACCTATAGCAAGCGGCTATCCTTTTAGTGGCTTCGTATAACACAATTGATTCACGCTTCGGGCACACCCCTAACCCCGCCCCGATGTCATCATCCATCAAGTTTCACTGTAGACATCGTCCGATGCCAATTTGGTAGACATCGCCCAACCCTACTGCTTTCCATCTGCTGGACCTACATGAGTGGCCTTTCCATCCCTCCACTCAGGCCATAGCGTCTTGTGGGGCCGCCAAGTCCTTGATTTAAAGCAGCAATATTTGCATCTGGCAGTATTGCTTGCTTGGAGATTAATATTTGTATATCATTATTATATTTATTTATTTTAAAGAGTCTCATAAATTGAGGCTCTGAAGATCAACTCTGAACCCGTTATGGCCCCACAGCTTCCTTTAATGAACTCAGGCCAAACATCTACTGTTATCTGCCATCTCTCACACTTTAAAATGAATACAATTAATAAATATCAGAGATATTTAAAAAAAAAAAAAACTGTATATCACACTCTGTTAATGTGTTCACCAGAAATTTCCCAAATCTGGCATGTTTTCTCAAACTGTCCTGTTGTTTGTGTGTACCAAGTTTTGTGATTTGGACATTGCATTCATAAAAATCTCATTAATAACCATGTGATTTTAAAGAGAAGGAACATTTAAACTGGGAATGATTCCTATGAACGGCTCCCCAGCTGCAACCAGTCATGTATGGCATGGTTGTGACTGGATTAGAAGCCTGTTTTTGCTCATTCCAGACAGATTGTAAAGTCTGTTCTGTTAGTGGTGATGATTTTTAGTCACTTTCTGCAGGTTACATTGATACACCAGTAGGTGGCAACAAGTGACTGTCTTTATGAGTCTTTCATTCACTCAATAGATTCATTCAAAAAGATTTGTTCCTCCCATTCCATCACCACTAAAAATGTGCTGATATAAATCCAAAACTGAGTGCCAGTGCTATATCGGTATATCTTTCTTAAGTGATTTCGACAGTCACATGGCAATACAGATTAAAAGTTTTACATCACAAAAGCAACTTTAATTTAAGACAGCACTTAAATGTTTGAATACTTTTATTTGAGAGGTTTCATACATGTACTCACTGTGAGCATTCAGAGCAAACATTTACAGCACTATATGAAATTCTGTTTAATGCTCAGTTATTAACATTTATAGGGTTCTGAAATTATACATCTCTTTTTTTAGTCTCAAAGCAGTAAAAACATAAGCAAACTGCCCACTTCTGACAGCCAATCTTCACAAATGTACATAGTTTTATTTTAGAAAAGAACCAAATGCAACATAAACGGGGAAATATTATTAAATCTTTCCCTATTATTAAATGCACAATGAATTGAATGTACATCTTTCTATCAAGGGGATGAAAGGAATAAACCATAATCTAACCACTTACAGACACGATGAAATGAAACACAAACAGAAGAAAAAGTATACTCAGGGCTACCAATGAGAGACTGAAAGGCTTAGTGGTCATAGTGGTTATATATATCAACCAATCTTTCTAAGAGACTGGCTAACTTCTAACTTTTTTCCATTTAAAAACATATTATACACATGTTTGGTCATGTAATGAATAACTGAGGCTGAAAAGCTATACCTTAAAAGACCAAGAAATGATCTGTAAGGTATTAAGCATCCACGTCATTTATGTTTGATGGATGTTTAAATGCTTTCATCAATAAAAGAAAATAATACATCACTAGGTGAACTAGATGAATTTAGATCAACTGCATGTGAAGGAACTTTAACATATTTTTTTATGACATATTTTATGAAATATATTTTTAAGTTCAGTGCAATTCATATAGGATATGTATGGGGTTAGACTAACCATTTCAAGTGACAACCATGAGGACAATCTTGTTCATGAAGATTGCAAAGTGCTGGTTTGTCCATTTTTGCTGAATGGTAAACAAGATTAACAAGATTAGCGAATGGTTAACATGAATGCGAAGAAAGCACCAACACAGGCTACTGAAGCCAAAACATATACATGAAATGCAGTATTGTTTTCATCGCTGCATGGATTCTTTTGAAAAATCAAGGTGTATTATTCCGTGCCATCCACTGGGAGTCTGGGATGCACTCTCTGAGGTAGCCGTGAATATGACCAACAACTTAAAAGTTTTAACACAAAAACACAACATAGCACCGTTGTTGATAAACAGATAAAGAGTAAAATCTCTTTCTCCACTTCTTTTCATTCGAACACTGATATTTACCGTGGGCTCACCTTAGCCCTTCAAATGACCACTGTTGGGCATCAAGGGCAAGAAATCAAATCAGTCAGTTCATGTTTGTTTCCTTTATCCTCCTCTGCTCAGCTCATCCACTCTTCTTCCAATCGTTTCAATAAAGTCTCCTGCAGTGCATCTACAAGATCTTCATGCAGACTTGACAGCGACTGATGCGTGACCGGTACTCAACTCCCTTCAGCGTCTCCTGGGAAGGACCCTGGACGAACTGTTCGTTCTGCTCTACTGTGGTCAACCAGAAACTGTACTTGTTGGCAAAGTAGTGGCAGGTGCCGTGGGCACCGTTGCACTCGATGAAGGGGGTGGCGCGGAAATCCTCCAGACAAGAACCGGGAGACACCAATGACTGACCGCCTCCTTCTGCACCTGCGGCTGTGTGCTGAAGGACAAACATAAATGTTATAAAGTTATACAGTATGTAGGTAGTTTTAACATTGTCAAAATAAAACGTCCTTTACTGCATCTTTGAGGAGACTAGAAAGTAAGATTTTCCAAAAATATCAAAATCATTCAAAATTTATGAACATTTAAAATTAATTTAAAATAATTATATTCAATTATTTATAGTAAATAGCTTACATACATATAAAACTTCATTTATAAACTGTCAACATATCTTTTATTGTATTAACTGTCAAGCGTTTGAACATTATTTTATACAGATGAGTGAACATGTACTACATTAGCTGTGTCTCATTTCGAAGGCTGCGCCCTCCAGAGGTCACATTCGAAGGCTGCATACCTCATCGAGGCTGTCTCATTTCAGAAAAGAAGTAGGACACTCCGAATGCGACCTTCTTTCACAGGAATTCGGAGGATGCATGAAGTGTATCCTTCGCTGCTACAGATAACTCACAATTCTTTGCGTCGCTGTAAACAACCGTCGTTTATTTGAAAAAAAAAAAATGGCGGCGCCAGCAGATGTAACGTTACACACAAGCGAAGATGTGGTGTTTAAATGTAAGTATTTTCAAGTTTTTCTTTTAAGTTGTATTACCTCAGTTGGTAGATGTGGTAAACAGGATTACAAGTGTTTAGTGGTTTTTAAATGATGAGAATAGTACTTTCCTAGCAAGGCGAGAAATTATTAAAGGGGTCATATGATGCTATTTTAAAGATCATTATTTTGTGTATTTGGTGTAACAGAATATGTTGACATGCTTTAATGGTCAAAAAACATTATTTTTCAAATACTGTACTGCACCAAGAGCTTGTAACACTCCAAAGAGAAAGGAAAACTTGAAATCGCATCATATGACCCCTTTAATTTGTTTAACCCTCTGGTATTGTACATTTAACTAGCATGAGAGCACAACGATGCTATAAATGTGTTGGCATAGCAATGTGATACATCCTTTTTGTTGTCTCGTGTAATTCTAGGTTGAGGATACTCCGTATACGTATCCTTCAGAGAATGTGACCTCCAGAGGACGCAGCCTTCTAAATGAGACACAGCTATAGTAAGCTCAGTTGATCTGAATCTGCAGTGATGTGTGATTGTGCATGTGCATTCAGGTATAACTCAATTGTACCATAAGGAAGGAGTAACCAATCCACAGACTTCTCCAACCCTGAGGGCAGATCGGTATGCTGAGATCCTGGCTATGGATAGCAATTGCTTGAGATGGAGCCTCACACACTGAGCAGCGGCTAATGTATTGAGATATCTGCTGTTCTGCCACAGGCATCATGGGAATGGGTGCTGTGGTGGACAGCCAATAGGATTTGTCATTGCGACTAGCGTAGTAGCAGATGTCATTGACTGTGCAGTACAGGAAGGGGATGGTGCTGAAATGCGGCAGGCAGGAGCCAGGCAATCCTGTGAGGACAAGAACATTTGAATTCAACTTTCACAACATTATCTTGAGGCAAGTCAGCTTATCAGTATATACAAGTGAACTTGTGTATATTACACAGTCCACAATAAACTGATCCACAACAATTAATATTCCAAATCTATCTATTCCAAAACAGAATGATCAAAATTTGTAAACAACTGAAAGCCCTTATAATAACAACCGTAGTGTCTCACCCAGGTCCTGGTTGTGTGCTTTCTCCTGCCCCTCCACATAGAGCAAACTGTATCCCTCCCACAGCTTGGACATGCCTTGAGGACACATGGGCACCTGGCTGGACTGACTGTGTTTCACCAAAGTATAACCGATACTGGTACTGCGCGCAGGTGGACCAGGAAGACCTTGCATTCCTGGTGAGCCACGGGTTCCTGTAGAAGATATGTCAAAGTGGAAGAATTTGAAAGGCAGTTACAGAAGGGAGGAGAGGAAATGGGTGAAAGATGTAACCCAGAAAACTGTAGTGAAATCTATTGTTACCTTACGCACTTGAAAATATGCTGTTAATGAAATTTCTACCTTATAAACAGTGTTGGGGAGTAACTAGTTACATGTAACTGAATTACGTAATTTAATTACAAAATAAATGTAACTGCAATCTGTTACAGTTAAGGTCCTTGCACACGGAGTCCGAAATTTTTGTATTCGTTTTTTTCATATTCGTCATCCTAAAAATTCGTCACGCACAGAAGCCTTGCACACTGAGTCCGATGTGAATTAATTAATCCGTTGCGAAAAAATGTGCAAAACAATACAAAATGGAGTCTTCAAACAGTGAGGATGATTTTGTTGTCCTCTCTCTTCTTAAAAAGAGAAAAAGAAACAGGAAATATTGGATCCATCATCTAATCCAAGGAGAGTGCCACCTCCTTATCAAGGAGCTGCGGGATTATCCCTGGCGATTCAAAGTTTACTTCAGGATGTCAGTGGCTCAGTTTGATGCTTTGCAAGCGATACTGGAGCCACATATTAAAAAGAAGACCACCAATTTCTGTGAACTCAGTGTGCAAGGACCTATACAGTGCTTTGTGTAGTGAGAAGAAGTGGATCAACTTGTCAGACACCATTCTGGATTTTGGCATTCGCTTGTACAGTGGCTCTGAATTGTCAAAACACTTCTCAAAATGCTTGCTATGGATGCAAAAAACTCAGAAAATCGAACCCGATCCGAATTACCTTTCAGTAAAAAGTTCTTAAAATAACTTTTTTTTCTTAGTGTGAAGAACATTTTAATAATCTAAAGAACCTTTTTCCACTGTAACAACTTTTTATGCAATGGAAAGTTTCCATGGATGTTAAAGGTTCTTCATGGAACCATCAACACCAATAAAGACATTTTATTTTGAAGAGTAAAGGTCCTTGCACCGAGTCTGAAATTTTCGTATGCGTTTTTTCATTTATTTTTTTTTCGTATTTGTGATCCTTTCCTATCAAAATGCTTACTATGGATGCAAAAACACAGAAAATCGAACCTGATCCGAATTTTTTTTATGACAGACGAAAGTTTCGGAGGCAGTGTGTAAACGTGATTGACACAACGTGAGATCGTATTTATCTTTTAACGTGTGAAAATTTCATACTCGGTGTGCAAGGGCCTTTACTGAGAAAAAATTTGTAATTAAATTACAGTTACTTATGAAAATGTTAACGATTACAAAGGGGGTTACATCTGAAACATCTGAATATTTTCACACACATTCAGATTTGATTGATTTCTTTCCCAAATTGCATTGACTGCTTTAAAATGAGACACCAATGTTTCAGGAGTTTAGGACACAATAGGACACGCTAATTCAATAACTGTTTTATTTCCTATTTGGGTTTATGTATATACTTTCTTTTTTTAAGATTAACTTTTTTCCAAGGCATTGTTAGAGGCCTGTGTTTCCTGTCATAGCTATGCAAGGATTTGATTTCAAAAACAGTATCATAACTATTAAACTATTTCTTATGATTGTAAATCAGTATTTAACCTCAGAACAATCTCAAAGTAAAAAGAGTTGCTAAAAATCTGATTTTGAGGTGGCTGTGCTTTAAAATTAAATTAATATAATCTAAATTCAAGTGATGAAGGATTTTGAAAGTCTGACAGTAATCAGTATTGAGTCCCACTGTAAGGTTAACCCTGCCGTCTTTAAATGTTTCAAAATGATTAACAGTTGAAAACATTTGTTAGAAATTTAGAAAAGTAACCAAAAAGTAATGAAATGTAATCAGTTGCATTACTTTAATAAAGCAATTAAAATATTTACACTACTTATTACATTTTAAATAGGGTAACTTGTAATCTGTAACCTATTACAATCCCAAAGTAACCTTCCCAACACTGCTTATAAATATTCAGTTAATGAAATGTCTACCTAATCTGACCACTAAAATTACTTCTGCGGGTGTATCCTATGTGATTACAGTGATTAAATAATATGATTTGATAGAAAATAATAAAAATAATTTAGCTGTTACCACATAAAGCACATGAGTGCAGAATAACCGATCAAAAGTAATACACTAGATTAATGTTTCTCATCTGGTTTTGCTTTAGAATCCAAATTTTAAACTAGAAATCAAGTGGCACAAGACAAGGTCAAAAATGTCTATCGCACAAAAATGTTTATTACAAAAAAAAGCTTATTGCAAAAAATTTAAACATATTGCAAAAATTCAAACATTTGGGGTGTGTTGTTTTGAAAGAAGTCTCTAATGCTCACCAAGGCTGCATTTATTTGATCAAAAATACAATTAAAAATGGTCATATGAAATTATTAAAATCAGTACAAATGTTGTGTTGGTGCTCAAGAAACATTTATCATTATTATGCTGAAAACAGTTGCTGCTTAATATTTTTCTGGAACCCATGATGCATTCAGGGTTCTTTGATGAATAGAAAGTAAAAAAAAAACAAAACAGCATTTATTTGAAATATAAATCTTCTGTTTTATTATAAATGTCTTTATCACTTTTAATCAATTTAATGCATCCTTGCTGAATAAAAGTTTCTTTCTAATAATTTCTGAATAAATAATAATTTTAATGAAGTTTGATGGCTCACACAGCTTTTTATATGGTTATATGGTTAGTATTTTGTTGTATTATTTAAATAAATTTCTCTCTCTCTCTCTCTCTCTCTCTACATATATATATATATATATATATACACAGTCGTGGTCATAATTATTGGCACCCTTGGTAAATATGATCAAAGAAGGCTGTGAAAATAAATCTGCATTGTTAATCATTTTGATCTTTTATTTAAAAAAAATCACATAAATCTAACCTTTCACTGAACTAAAACAATTGAAAATAGGGGGAAATCTCATTATGAAATAAATGTTTTTCTCAAATACACGTTGGACACAATTATTGGCACCCCTAGAAATTATTATGAGTAAAATGTCTGTGAAGTATATTTCCATTCATACAGTATTTACAGTTTTGAGCATACCAGGGTGATTATGAACATGAAATTATTCAGCCATGGCTTCCTGTTTCACAGGAATATAAATAGGAGGGAAAACAAAGGCCAAATTCCCTTAATCATCCATCACAATGAGAAAA